CCATTTGTTACCCGGCCCATATCTATATCTCAGGCTGACACTGATGAGAACTTTTCTGTTGGCCTCTCCAGATTATCGAGTTGTAATGACACATACAGGCAGGCTGGGTAAAAGCTGACGATCCAGGGCAGAGTTTTTGGTGGTACAGAGGGTGGATATTGAGGCCGGGTGCCTGGAGGGCTTGGACGTAGCTGCTCATAATAGAGAAAAAGGGCTACATCGCTCCTATGACTGTTTCCATCCAAACCTTACAGAGGTCATCATCTCTGCTGAGAAACAATAAAGGAAGAGGAGGAGTGATAAAATGTGGATAAAATGAGAGCTAGAGAGATAAAAGGGAGAATACACCTTCTATATGCCCATATCTACTCATAGGGTACATGCTAAGTGACATATTTTTTTAATTATTTCTAAAAGGAAGCGATCATACACTAAAGGAATATAACTTTTGTGACTACAGTACATTTGCCAGAACTGTCATTGCCCTCCTTAAATACAAATTGTTTCCTATTTACAAAGGAAGTAACGAGACTCCCTCTAGTCAAGTGGCCCGCTGAAGTGTTCCAACCTGGATGACATTGAGGTTCTTCGACTGGCTGGTGCAAGGGGCCGAGTAAAAGCTAATCAGGCTGTAATTCAAGATTCGCCTGGCCACTTACAATCAATACTTGCACAATCCCAATTAAAGCTTACCGGGTCAGCGGAGGGCCACCAATTCCCTTACAAGTTAAAAGCAATACTTAAATCTAAGCAATCTCTGTGTGGCCTTCATTGTTTTAATGGCTCATCCCAAAAGGAGTGTCCAGTTAAAAGTGTAAGAAGGACACAGGGCGGATAGGTTACAGTGACAAGTGCTGCTGTCTTTGTGAATGCAGTTTGACACAAAGATCTTGTTGTCCAACAGGATATTGTGCAAACTCACTGCTTCAGTTCCTCATACGAGATGAAAACAATATCTTTTGTGAAGTTATATGCGTAGGTAGTGTTTCATCAGCTGACATCCGTGTTTACCTAAGCCAGAGTTAGTTTGTACAATTACATTATGTTAAGTCTGTCATAACAGAGGCTTGTAATACAGCAGAATGTGATCAGTGTTATTCAAATAGGCTAAAATGTTTTTTTCTTTAGTTTCACTGATTCCTAAACACGTATACAGACTCATTACCTCAGAACAAATGGTCCAGTATTTCCATTTCATGCCACTTTATACTACTCCAATATATCTCAGAGGCAAATATTGCTCTTTTTCTACATTTATTTCACAGCTTTAGCTACTATTTATTTAACATTTATTTATTTATATTTTTGAACAGTAAATAAAATAGTCATAAAATGTTGACCTGCTATAACAATAAAATGCTGTGTACTCATTAATGCATCAGCAATAATAATCTAATCATATCATATATAATAACACCCACAGGGACCAATATTATGCATTAAGTACTTTTACATTTGATACTTTAAATACATTTTTCTAATAATATTTTGAATGATACTTAAACACATGTTTAAGTATCATTTTAAATGTGATATTATTAAATTTTTTGCAGTGCTAAAGGATCTGAATAATTCCTCCATCACTGACTACATTTGTCTGACAGTTTCAGCTACTAGTTACTTTGAAGATTAAGATTTTAAATTTTATATTTTACAGTTTATAAAACATGATGTATTTCTGTATATTACGCTACAAAACAGTTTAAAATGTTGTTAAAATTAGCTCCACCTCAACTAACTATAATAGTAAAATGCTTCTTTGAATGAATACTTCCCCCACCACTGCTCAGAACTCAAACTCTAATACCCACCTATTTTTCCCATTTTCCTTCCAGTTTTCTCCCTCTGAGGTTTTGCCGTTGCATCCATGTCTTTTATCACAATTTTGACCCACAGAAAGGAATTCTCACAAGATATCAAAACAAAAATCTATATTTAATATGGGAGCAATTACAAAGCGAAGTTGGCTGCACAGGGCCGTTGTCACCAGAGCGCGTGTTTTTCATCAAATGGGTCATTAGACGATGATGGATGTAAACCTATAAAGTATCTAAACTGGACCTTTTAACAAACCACGAGCAACACTATCATTTCTCTAATAGAACCTGCTGACCGTGTCATTCCCTCCTGCCATTTGTCATTTTTCCTTGTGAAATAATCAATATCTGGGCGCTTTGAAATAAATAATATAAAAGTCATGGTAACCTACCCGAGGAGCAACAAAAATAGACTTATGGAGCATTCAGAAGGCCTATATGGCTTCTGGGCAATGTCTGCTGCATGTTTCTAATCAATGCATAATATGAACTGTATTTTTTAAAGTACAGACTACAGGATCTTTGTACAGTTTTTTTTCAGAGTTGTTCTCTTTATCCCCAATTATGCACGTTGGACTGCCATTATAGTAGTAAAGCACTGTAGTAAAGTATTATTTGTGACGTAAATATTACTAGTCCTTTCAACAATTGATTTTTTCGACTATATTTTATCAATCAACAATCTGGGAATCTGGCCTTTTTGACCCAAGCCTACAAGAGTTACTTTTATTCGACTAGATTAGACTTCAAATAATAATAGATAAAAATAATGATATATGCACACTGAACAGCTCCCAAATTATATATTTATTAATTTCATGCAACATTTTGGTCACAGGCATCAGCTACAGATCAGGCATTAGCCTCTGTGTGTTTAATTTCTTCATCCTTCCATCTTTCTTTTTGAAATATTGTGACTTAAATAAATTGGTGCTGCTTCACTGACAAATATTCAGTCCTGTTTGTATATAACACCTTAAACACAACAATACCTCTGGGACCAAATCTGGGATTGTCATGCTTCGCCTTGGTGTCCAATAGTAAAAAAGGTATGAGATTTCCAAGTATCAGGATATTAACTAATCCAAATTCATTTTACTCTTTTTAAGATCACTGGTCCATGCACATTGTCCAGAAAAACATGGGTGAAATTGCAACCAGTAAGAGTTTCCAGGGGCTTTCTACTCTTCTTATCCAGTTTCTAATTGGCTGTCTATATTTACAACTATTGACTGATGCATATTGAAATAATATGAATTCTTTGGATTTTGCAATAATAGATGCTCCCAACCTAATATACACATTTTACACCTCAGTCTGAGGGTGCCATCAAATACCTGTGATGATAACCATGTAAGGAAAGGCGGTAATTACATCAGAGTAACAGGATATCTCCACTTGAGCAGCTCACTAAATGAATAACACGTGTTAATTACATGAACATGCCCGTGCGTGTAAGAACTCTACAAGATGATGAGTGGGGAAGCACCATGGCACCCAGTAAAAACTTTACCTTGTCACTGACACCCTTTATTATGGCTGCATATCGCATGGCTAATAAATGTAAAAAGATCATTCATGGCTGAAAGGAGTATCTCAGTTAGGTGTTTCATACGTGATCAAACTGTTACAGGACAAATATGCTGTCGAAGAAAACAGCTGTGTCACTGTTTGTGTTGGTCTCACACACTGCCTTGGATTATTTCCCTGGAAATTCATTCTAACACTAATCATGAGTAACTTTAACCAAAACCCTAATCTTTACTCTAAAATGTAGTGGCTTGTCTTATGTGGGGACCTGCTTTTTGCCCGCAACGTGGAGGTGAGTCCCCACAATGTGACAGTGTGATAAGATTTTTGTACCCACAACGTGATTAATGCAAACCTCAAAACACACACACACACACACACACACACTCCACATAGTCCACACACTTGCATTCCCTACTCTGGGCCCACAGAGGACGCTGTCTCCCCGTTCTTCTCCTACGCCAGCCTCGTACCAATGGACTGCTTTTTAACAAGTCAATTAATATCAATGAGTGAATATACATAGCACATTTACAAAGAGTGTAATCTGAGGGATGAATTAACCAAATCGATTAGGGAGGAATAAATGACTGTGCGACCCGCAGACATTGTGGAAGTGGCCCTTGCTGAAAATCAATGAATTAGAAATATGAATCTAATCGCCCGTTGGTGACACGCTGAGTAGCTGCAGCCTGATCTCAGGCCTCTCTCATATTATGTCTGAGAAGCAAAACTTTGGTGTTGGCATAGGGACCATACACTCGTATTTAATCTTGTTTTGTCAAATTAGGATGAACGATTTAAGGCGAGTGTGTGTTAATGTTTCTGCATGAGAAAGGTGGCGTTTTATTGATTGCGAGACTTTTGCACTACTACCTGGGCACCGTGTTGGTATTATTTCATGAGTTTATATGGCAGTGGGAATATTGTGCTGTTGGAAAGTTGCTAGATGGCTGGCTTGTTCATCTCACACGGGATTTATTCTAGACAATTTGCTTTATTTAATATAATTAGTTTGAACTGACTCACGAAAGCGTCATATTGAGGCCTTGGATAATGAAGGCAAGCAATATGATATATTATAATTAGTATTAGTATCATTATTATTATTATTCGACTATATTTCTTTTAAATACAAAGCTTCAGTTGATTCAGGTTAGAAGTTAAATACAGTCTAACATCTCCTACAAATCTACTCAGAAATAGCCGAATTTAAAATATCCACCAGACACCTGCAGCCTGAGTGGAAGCGGCTCAAAATGTATCACTAAATATAAAAACACCCTGGTTTATGGTTTATGGTTTATGAGGAACCTCGTGCAGTCGATCTGTGTCTGACTGTAATGTTAGTTGTGTGATGAGGCGCTTATCCCAAACCTTCCTCTTTGGCGCTAACAGCCCTGTGTTCATTTGCTGCCTAATTGGACTATATGAGACCAATAACAGGCGAGCACACACAGCCTGCAGCCAGAGCGCAAAGAGAGGGGAGGATGCTCTCTCTCTCTCTCTCCCTCCTCACCGCCTCTCCCTTAATCCCATTTGCCATTGTACATGCCCAATCGCCTATACTTTCCGCATTTAACTTGGATGACATTTTTATTTCATCATTAGCATCAGACGCCAGACTGACTGACACGGTGGACACAGTTTGCGATTTGACAGAAAGAGCCCGGAATGAGACATCTCCATGTTTATAAGTGTTTTTTTGTACCTCTCAAACATTTTATTTTATTATTTTTCTAGCCTAGAAGGACGTGCGTTTTGACGCGCAAAACCGAGTCTCCGCGTTTTAAAAAATCCCTGAGAAGAACAAAACCACGCAGCCAGGATATCGGCAGTCTGTAAGTCAGCCTTGCGTTTTTTTTTTCTGTCTATTTGAATTCCTGCTTCCGTGGTCCTCTGCGTCCAGACCACAGCCACAGCGATGCCAGAGACAACGCAAGAGACGTGCGCTTCGGCCAAGGACTCTCCTTTCTTCATTAAGAACCTGCTGAACTGTGATAGCAAACCGTCCAAACCAAAGCCCGTATTGGCTGCCACAAAGGCGGCCTTGGAGGGAGGATTTTCCCTTTCCCAGGTCGGGGAATTCAACTTTCCACGCTTTGACCTGCCCGCACAGAGGTTCAGTCTACCGGCTCACTACTTGGAGCGCACCTCGGCGTGGTGGTACCCCTACGCCCTCAGCTCATCCGCCCACCTACACAGAACCGAAGGTAAGACTGACAGAAAACAACAATAATTACAGGGTATCATGTATGAGCAAGCAATTGTCACTCTTTTGGCCTTTTAATTCCATTTTGATGTTGGAGTCCCCCCCCCCCTCTGAATTAATAAAACAGATAGGGCAAACTTCAAAAATAACAATCACAATATAGGACCATTCAGGTCCATGTCCCCTGTGAGTTTTGTGACACATAATAACATACAGCAACCAGTCATTGCGCTTCCTCCTCGGAAAGTTAACTGGATTTTGTGATAGGGGAATACAATGACATGCCTTGTCTTTACCACACCACAGAGTACATAGTGATTTGACGCCTTGTCCTCTATGAAGGCCTATTTTGTTATGCCACTACGCGGAAATAGATCAATAAAGTGACACACTGAGCATAAAATGAAGTAGACATCATCAAATCATCAGATGAGGGTGACGATGCGCAGCGTGCTTTTGATTTGTCTATTGGCGCTGACTACGAACATCTTACCCCAGAGGCTCGGTCACTGACAGCGTTTTTACCTGCCTGTTTCTGTGATTTATTCATGTGGGATTTAAAACACGCTGATATGAATGGCACTATCATGCGTTCATGCAAAGAAAGATAGGATTCAGAAGGCTTGTTCAATTAGAGTGAATGTGCAACCCTGATTTGTTCAAATAAAAGTAATAAAAAAACAGGCCTATATTTGGAACACTTTATTTCTTTATTCTATTCAAAGGTGAACTTTTTAGTAGGTTCAAAGAATAATTTTAATACATTTAACACGGTGTTGTCAGCCATGTGTAGCTCTAAAATGGTTTATGTTTATGTCACAAACCATATTTTTCTGGCACTATTTCTAACCTTTTTAGTTTTCCCAAGGCCCACGGGCTGCCCAGTATCAACAGGCTGTAATAAAATCCTAAACACATTTAACGTCAGGCCCCAGTGTTTATGACCACATCTCCCTGTGTCCCCATTTCAGTCACCGAGAAACCAGGAGCCAGAGACTCCTCTCCAACCTCGGGCACAGACAGAGACTCGCCGGACCTGGTGCTCAAATCGGAGCCAGACGCCAAAGACGACGACGAGGACGATGAGCACAACAACAAAAGCGGCGACGAGATCATTCTGGAGGAGAGCGACACGGAAGAAGCCAAAAAAGACGAACTGGAGGAGTGGAAGAAGAGGGACGACGACAAAAAGCCGTGCCGCAAGAAGAAGACGCGCACGGTTTTCTCACGGAGCCAGGTGTTCCAGCTGGAGTCCACCTTCGACATGAAGCGGTACCTGAGCAGCTCGGAGCGGGCCGGCCTGGCCGCGTCCCTCCACCTGACGGAGACGCAGGTGAAGATCTGGTTCCAGAACAGGAGGAACAAGTGGAAAAGGCAGCTGGCGGCGGAGCTAGAGGCCGCCAATCTGAGCCACGCCGCGGCGCAGAGGATAGTCCGGGTGCCCATCCTCTACCACGAGAGCTCGGCCTCGGAGAGCGGAGGCGCCGCTGCCAACGTGCCAACCAGCCAGCCGCTGCTCACCTTCCCGCACCCCGGCGTCTACTACTCCCATCCCATCGTCACATCCGTGCCGCTACTCAGACCGGTTTGAACAGAGCTGAGTGTTGCGGCACAAGTTGGTGTTTATTTTGCAAATCAACTCATCCGAAAAGTAAAAGAAACACTTAATATTTTTGTACAAGTGACTGAATGAAGAAACAAAACAACAAAAACAAAACAAAAAAAAAGAAAGAAAGAAAAGAGACACACTGTCAGGCCTACATGGACCTATTCTGGCAAATGTATTGTGTCATTTTCCATTAAGGGTGCCGTTTACTCATGATCCGACAATTCAAATCTCATGTTTTATATTATTATTATTATTATTATTATTATTATTATTATTATATGTAATTATCACCTCAGGAGTCCACCTGCTTACACTGCCTGATGAGTGTCTTTTATTTTTACACCATGACTTTTGCTGGACAGGCCAACTCTGTGTGATGTACAAAAAGAAACTTTACCTTGTTTACAAAAATTGGGCAGCCTAAAGGGCGCAGACCTGCTTATCATCTAACTTTAATCAATTATTCGATTTTTTTATTTACATTTCCACTACTGATTACCCGATGATGTGCAATACACTGACTGTGTGCTGTGAATGAATCAGTCCACGCTTTGGGAAACATGCGCGTTTTGTCATCTATTCACGGTGGAATATTCTACTGATGAGGCGTTGTTGTAGGCTAATTTCCCTTTTTATGTTTTATTTTTTTGCTTTTTAAAGCTTGACGCGGGACAATCAAGACACTCTCAACTGTAAAATACACATGTAGCTTTATGTTTAGTTTTAGTGCTTCTCACTCTTGTTCCCTCCACATGGACACGTC